GTGCTCTTTCTCCTCTAAAGTCAAGACTGGCCAATCCCTCCTAGAAAGCCCGGACCCTGGGAGGGGTGGGAGCAGGTGCTGGGTCCTGTCTCCTCCCCTCCCCCCGGGCTTGTCCACCTTCAGCTCAGGCTGCTGAGCCCAGTTAAAAATAGCCCAGCCTGGGGCCTCTGGAAGTGGAGGGGGCTGGGGAGGAGGCTGTTGGGGGCACCTAGCTGGGGCCGGGTGGGCACAGGCGAGTCCCCAGGGTCCCACACCAGGACTCCACAGCCAGTTGGCCCCTCGGCAGAACCCCACCTGCATAGCTGTGGAGACCCCCACCCCTCGGGGCTCCTCCGGGCTCTGCCAAGAAAGGGGCACCAGCCTGGCCACCTTCCCTCCTGACCCTGCCCTGCACCCACCCTGGGAGGATGGAGGGTCTGGGTTTCCACTTGGCTCCAGCCCGGGGCAGCCCTGACTTCCCTGGAGGGAGAGAGGTTGCCCTCGCCCCTCGGGGCTGGGCCAGGCAGGATGGGGCAGGGAGGGAGGCTTCTGGGAACATCCCTCCCTCAGGGAGGGGTCAGTGAAGGGTTTTCTGGGATTTTGCGTGTACCTTTTTCTTGAAGTACTGCATGCATACAGAAAAGGTACACACGGTGCACACATATGACTTGATGAATTTCCATAAACTGCGTGCATCTTGACACCAGAACAGGGATGTAGAAAACAGGAGGCCCCTCAGGCACCACAGGCCAACGCCCTTGCTCTGCGTCCTTCAGCCCGCCCCGGCCTCATGCTTAACCACCTGAGGCTCCGGCTCTGCCGGGCATCATGCCCAGGCCCCCCTTGAGGTCACCCACAGAGGTGCCTGGAGCTGACGGTGGCACGTTCTCATTGCATCTGCCCTGGAGCGTCGATGGCACCTGGCTTTGTCCAGGTCGGGACTATCACAAACAGTGCGGCTTTGAACATTCTTGTACCTGTGTTTTGGTGAATCCAAGCACAGATTTCCACCAGGCGTACTGCAGGTAGACAGGTCACAAATCCCTCTCAGTATCTGACGGGGGGACCCTGGGCACTCCCCCAGACGATGCTGTGATTTGCTGTGATTTCGGGGGTGGATACCTCCTGGAGGCCCCTGGACTCTGGCCCCCAGCCTCCTGTCTCTCCCCAGGCTTTGAGCCTGTTTGTCTTTGGTGGGGCCGGGGCTGGGGTCCCCCAGGAGAGGTGTTCTTCCCCCGGGAGGGATGGGCGATGCACGTGTACCCCCCAGCAGGCCGGGCACACCCTGAGGAGGCGACCCATCCCGGAGGCCCACACCCACCCTTCCTTCCTCAGGAAGACCTGTGGTCTGATAAGGCCTCCAGTCTCTGGTTTGCAAAACCACCCCGGCACCAGGACCCCCAAGGGAGGAGGGGCCTGGGCCCCACCAGCCTGTGGCGGCAGGGCACAGCCCCCAAGCAGCAGAGCCTCCTGCAGGGCTGCAGGGGAGGGAACCCCTGGACCTGCGTGGGGCTCTTGGGGGTGTGGAGCAGGGGCGGCCAAATCAGGGCAACAGCTGCTCCTCCCAGGCCCTCCCCAGCCCCTCACCCTCGGTTTTCCCTCTGACCTGACCCTGTCCTGGGGTGGACCCTGGGGGGCAGAGGGTCCTGAAGAGGAACTCCCCCAATTCTTGCTCCCTGCCCTCATGCCTACCCAGCTTCGAGGACCAGGCAGGCCCCTTTCCTCCAACACGGCCTCTCTCCGGGGTCCTTCGGGCCCCTGGCCCCCCAGGAGCAGCTGAAGATGACTTTGAACCCAAATCCCAACAGGACGGAAGTGCCCACAGGGCATCTGAGATGCGGAACCGCATCCCAAAGCCGGGAAGCCGGCCCCCTGCTCCCTCCCGGGCTCCCCCCATCACTGCCCACCTGGCGGCTGTTGATTGCCTGTGATAATAACGCCAGCAAGAGGGGCAGCATCTCTGCAGTTTTGCTCTACGTGGTGTGTTCTGCTGGCGCAGGCTGGCCGAGTGGGGGACTGGCCCAGCACCGCATGGATGGCGTGCCCAGCTCTGGTGGGGGCGGCTCCAGAGCCCTCAGGACTCAGGGGCACACATAAGTGCAATAAGGGCAAGGGAAGAAGGGGGGACGGCCAGCCAGGCCAAGGCCTGTGGGGTCCCCTAGCAAGAGGGCAGGGCTGTGTGGGGGGTGCCAGGAGCTGGAGGTGGGTCCCCCGGGGATGGCCGAGACTCATGGGTCGGCACCAGAAAGGGTGTTCCAGGTGGAGGGAATGGCAGGCTCAGAGCCCAGGGGGCGTGCAGATCGGCCTCGATGGGGACCCCCAGGATGGGCGTGAGCGGTGGCAGTGTGGCTGGGCTGACGGGCGGCCATCTCTCTCCCCGTCGTCCTGAGCAGGTGCTCGCCTGGGATCCTTGCTGCCTGAGGCCGGCACAGGTGCAGCTAAGAGGTGGCGGGCAAGGGAGGTGGAGCCCAGGCCATCTGAGCAGGCTGGTGGGCAGGAGAGAGGGCTGGACACAAGAACAGCAGGGGGAGGTGGGCTCTATTTCTTTCTTTCTTTCTTTCTTTCTTTCTTTCTTTCTTTCTTTCTTTCTTTCTTTTCTTGAGACAGAGTCTCGCTTTGTTGCCCAGGCTAGAGTGAGTGCCGTGGCGTCAGCCTAGCTCACAGCAACCTCAAACTCCTGGGCTCAAGCAATCCTCCTGCCTCAGCCTCCCGAGTAGCTGGGACTACAGGCATGTGCCACCATGCCCGGCTAATTTTTTCTATATATTTTTGGTTGGCCAAATAATTTCTTTCTATTTGTGGTAGAGACAGGGTCTCGCTCTTGCTCAGCTCCTGAGCTCAAGCAGTCTTCCTGCCTCGGCCTCCCAGAGTGCTGGGTTCACAGGTGTGAGCCACCGCACCCGGCCTCTATTTCTATCTCACGTTTCCTTCTCACTTCAGGCTGACCAGGAGGGGACTCCACGGTCTGAGCTGTGCAGGAGGGCCTCTGGGGAGGGACCGTGCCCAGCTGTGGGTGGCAGGGGAGAGGAACGGGGATTGTCTTCTCAGGGGCTGGTCCCACCTGAGTGGGCTCAGGTCACCTTGCTCCATCTTGGTGAGGTCCCGAAGCCCAGGGAGCAGGCCCTGCGAGGTGGCAGCTCTGGGTCCAGCTCTGACCCGGCCTGGGCGCTGCAGCTCCGTCCTCCGGCAGCAGCTTGTGGAAGCCCCCGGGGGTGTCCTGAGCACAGGGCTCAGGCCTGGCCCGGCACAGGTGACCACCGGCCCCCCGTGAGTGAGAGGGAGAGGCGCTGAGGTCACCTATGCTCCATGGCCTCCCCGAGCCCAGCCCCTCTGCGCCCACGGTCAGGGACCCTCTGCTATCTGTCCAGGGGCTCCCCTGCCCTCCCATGACCATGCACCCCAGCCTCTCTCCTCCGACCTGGGCCAGCAGGGTCTACACAGCCCCACATCCACACCCCGCTTCCTCTGGCCTCTCCCATCACCCACCTCTCCAACCCTAGGGTGCGTCAGCCTCACGTCCTAAGAATTTCTCCGACTGATCACCATTAGATCAAGTCTGTCTCTTGTTCAAAAGTCTTCAATGGCACCCCCCAGCCTGTGGGAAAACCAAGCCCCAGCTTGGCCGCTGCTGGGGACCAGCTCACCCCGCAGTCCCCACAAGCCTTCTGCCCTGTCTGCAGCTCGTGTGCACGCTCAGCTCCGTCCACTCCCCGCCAGCCACGCTGGACGTGGCCTGTCCTCAGCCGCACCCTGCAGGAAGCTGCCCAGAGCCCCCACCGCCCTCCAGGGGTGCATCGGGCTTCCACCCCGAGACGTGGCTCAAGGCTCGTCCCCAGTGGGGCGGGCCCCGACGGCAGGATCCGCGCCCCGAGCTGGGCTTGCTCACAGACCGCGCCGGGCGTGTGGAAGAGAGGAGAGTGCTGGAGTGTGCACAGCACGCGCTCCCAGACGCGGGCAGAGACACGCAGCCACACAGACCCAGCCACACGTGGGCACGCAGGGCAGACACGCAGAGCACAGAGACACACCACAGACACACGTGCGAGATGCAAGCGAAGGCTCCTGGGAGCTGTGGACGCGAGACGGCCTTGGATGTGCTGTGCAGGCGGCGAGACGGGTCATTCCCAGCGTGCTGTGGTGGTCGCAGCTCAACTCCAGCCAGACAGGGCGGCCGAGGCTTTTACAGCGAGAACAGAGGGGAGCAAAAAGGGGCCGCGGGGACCTGAAATGGGGGCTGTCCGGAAAGGGGCTGGGGAGATGGGAATCCCAGCGGGGAGGGTGGGTGGCGGGAGGCTGTCCTGGTTTGCTGGCGAGGCTGGGGCCAAGCGTGCCCACTCAGCACCTCGGCAGCATTGTCAGCACAGGCTGGCCTCACCTTTGGGGACTTGGCTCCTGCAGGCCAGAGCCAGGCTGACGTCTGTGAAGGTCTCTCGGCCCAGCGCTGGGGCGAGCCCTCCGTGCGCTGGGAGAACCCGCAGTTCATAACTCGCAGGCGCACGCAAACACGGGCGAGCTGGCCGCACCCCGGCTCGGCGTGGCTGCTCTGTGGCCCGGCAGCGCGGCTGGGCTCCCAGGCTGAAGCGCCAACAGCACTGAGCCTCTGAATCCTAACGGGGGGCTGCGCATCAGCCCTGGGGGCTGTTCTTTTTCTTTGATTGTTTGGTTTGCATTTTTTTTCTTTTTTAAAAGATAAAATTTGAGGCCGGGCGCAGCGGCTCACGACTGTAATCCCAGCACTCTGGGAGGCCGAGGAGGGAGGATTGCGCAAGGTCAGGAGTTCGAGACCAGCCTGAGCAAGAGCAAGACCTTGTCTCTACTAAAAATAGAAAGAAATTAATTGGCCAACTAAAAATATATAGAAGAAATTAGCCGGGCATGGTGGCTCATGCCTGTAGTCCCAGCTACTGGGGAGGCTGAGGCAGGAGGATTGCTTGAGCCCAGGAGTTGGAGGTTGCTGTGAGCTAGGCTGACGCCACGGCACTCTAGCCCGGGCAACAGAGTGAGACCCTGACTCAAAAAAAAAAAAAGATAAAATTTATTTTGGAATATCTTCAGGTTTCAGAAAGGCTGCAGCGTTGCAAAGCATGGAGAATTTCCGCGACCCCTCACTCAGTGTCAGCTCCCCCTATGTCACCGCCCCACCTTGCCTTGGCAGCTTTGCACCCCAAGCAGCCAGGTGGTGCGACGACCCCCAGCGGCAGCCCAGGCGCCCTCCGGATCCCATCAGTTCCCCGTCGGTGGCCTCTGTTCCGGGCCCCCCAGGGCCACAGTGCTCAGAGCTGTCATGTCTCCTTAGGCTCCTCCGGTTGGTGACAGGTTCTCAGACGTGCCCTGTTTCCAGGCCTGGGCAGTTTGGGGGAGCACCGTGCAGTGTTTTGGGGGGGGTCCTGCAGTCACCTGACAGACTTTCTCACGGCTTGGCTGAGGGCACGAGCTGCAGGGAGGGATTTCACAGACTTTCGGGGCCCTTCCACATCACATGTTCCATGTCACGTGTTCCACGTCACAGGTTCCATGTCACGTGTTGCACGTCAGGTGTTCCACGTCAAACCTGAGGTCCACAAGATCACCTAGGTGTGCTGGCACCTGCAAAGCTCCTCTCTGCCCCTGTTCCTAGAAGCGAGGCCCTGGGCCCAGGCCCCACTCCCGGGGTGTGGGGGGCTAGCTCTTGGCTCCTGGAGAGGAGCGCCCACACACACCGCTTGGAACTCCTTGGTAGGGGGGTCTCCCCTTGGTTCGCTTGTTCCTTGGGGTGTCGCACGCCGCGTGCACTCACGCCGTGGGCTTCGGTCAGCCGGCTCTAGCTCCGGCCCCTTCCCCACGCCCCCTGTCCCGGCCACAGCTGCTCCCAGCTCCTTTTCCCCCCAGGGTTGCTCTTGTCCGTTACCTGCTGACCCATTTGCTGACTCCCTCCCAGAACAAAGGACTTTGCTGGCTCTTCAGGCCTCACCCCTGCTGCAGTGGATTCCTTGTGTCCTATGCACGCTGCCTGGCCAGTAGCCAGTGAGCGAGCCGGTGGGTGAACCGGTGAGGCCGCAGGTGGCACTGCCCAGGGCTAGGCCTCTCCACACCCACCCAGGGGCTCCCAGAAGACCGCTGGTGGGAGAGGAGATCCCTTTGGGGCAGGACAGAGCCACAGCTCCCAGGCCTCCCTTTTCTCCCCTTCCCATTCCCTTGCACAGGAGGTGGGCTGGGTGGCCCTGGGCAGGCACCTCCCCTCACCACTGTCCCTGTGGGGAGACTCCTGGCATATGGTAGGTGCCCAGCAAACGTGCCCTGCCTCTCCCTTCCTCCCGGGGCCAGTTGCCCAGCCTGTGGGTCCTGGAGGGGATGTCGGGGAGAGCCAGGAGCCCCTCTCCCTGCTGTGGCTATCTGCCCAGTGATCGCCACCCTCTGCAATGTGAGCCTTGGAGGCTGTGAGCCCTGGGGAGCGGCTGTCCCTTCAGCCTGGATGCCCTGCTGGATGCTGACTGGCTGTCCAGAGCCTGGGATGGAATTACAGCCAGGCCAGCACCTGCGAGGGGCAGCAATGTGTCTCCCCCGGCCTGGCCAGCTGGCTCAAGGGCACCTGCCGTGAGCTCAGGGCTGGGGGAAGGACAGGCTGTGGGGGCCCCACGTGTGGTGGGGCTCAGGGACCACTGGGGTGAGGGGAGAGGGGCTATAAGGCAGTCAGGGCAGCAGGGCCAGGGGCTGAGACCCAGAGAGGCAGCCAGAGGTCAGACCCTAAGGGGACTTGGGCTGGCCCCAGGTGCTGGGTGGTGAGGCAGGTGGGAGCTCAGGCTGGTCTGGGACAGCTGAGACCCAGAGCGGGTCCCGCCTTGGGCTGTGGAAGGCTGGGGGGTCTCTGGGGAGAGGTCTGGTGGGGGAACTGGGCTCTCTCCTGACATGGCTAGGAGGACCCTCCCAGGGTCCATGGTCAGGCCAAGCTGTTCGTAGGCCCTCAGAGGAAAGGCCCTGGCTCTACCACAGCCCCAGGCCTGCTTGGGCTGGGCCCTGGCTGCCTTCCGGCTCCTGAGCCGGGCCTGGCCATGGCAGCTGGCACTGAGGGCCGCCCTGTCCTCTGCCTCCTCCCCACGCCTGCCCCTCTGTGTGCTGGGCCCTGGGCCCGGCCCTGCTGCTGCTGTGTTCTGCCTCTGCCCTGTGCAGCTCCCCTGGCCTCAGGCCCCCAGCCCCTCCGCCCCCACCCCACACAGCAGGTGTGGCCTGGCCTCTGTGTGTGGGAAGGTCTGGAAGGCAGAGTCCTGGTGCCTTGGCTGGGAGCGGTGGAGGGAGCCAGGGCTCAGGAAGGAAGGGGGCTGGCAGTTGGCAGTGGCACTTGGAAGGACGATTGGGGGTGAGCGAGCTCTTGGAATGGAGGCGGGTCGACAGTTGGCCGTGGCAGCTGGAGCGGCAGTTGGGGCTTGGCAGGGGCGCAGGCCCGGCGGACAGTGGGGTGGGGCAGCCGTGGGGTTGGCAGGTAGCCCCTGGCCCCAGAGCAGCTCTGGAAGGTGGTCTCAGGGAGGCCTGGGCAGGAAGGCAGGGCCAGCTGGCGCCGGACCGGGCAAGCCGTGCCCAGGAGGAGGCCCACCTTGCTGCAGCCTCAGCGGGCAACTCCCCCAGCCCACGGTGGTGGTGGTGGGGGTCTCTGCTGCAGCCCAGGGCCGGCCTCCAGTCCCCGCAGGACCCAGGATGACGTGCGGCGGGCGGCTCCCTGGACAGCCCCAGCATCTTCAGGCCCGCGGGGGCCTCTCTCCCGCCCCCGCCCTGCCCTCTTCCTCTCTCTGGGCTTCCAGCAGCGTCCTGGAGAGGGCAGGGACAGGTTCTGGGCAGTTCCCCGGGAGGGGGCAGGACTCCCAGGGCTGTTGCCATGGGGACGACTGAGCAACACCACTGGCTGGTGAATAAACAGGCAGGTTCCCTGACCAGTGACTGAGACAAAGACAACCACAGAAAACCCACTGGGGTGGATGAGGAAACGCTGCCTTGGGGAAGATGGGGGTGGCGGTGAGGCCTCGGCAACGGTGGGGGCTGCCCAGGGTGACACTAGGAGGGAAACTATGGAGGGAGATCTGTGGCTCCTCCATAATTTTCTCTCCCAAAGCTCCTCCCAGGAGCGGACCTGTGAGGAGAGGCAGTCCCTGCTCTCGGGTGGTGCCAGCGCCGGACATGGGTCCCCTCCCAGCCCCTCTGCCCCTGTGAGGCTGGAGGGCAGCTGGCGAGCGCCGGCGCAAGTGGTCTCCTGACGGCGAGCTTGTGAGCACAGGTGTGCAGGGCCCTGAGTGCAAGGCTGTGCCAGGACCCTTTTGGGGGCCCCACCAGCCTCACGGCTGTCCGTGGTTCTAGCAGTGTGTCCCAAGTCCCTGGGTTCGTGGGACGCATGTTCTGAGGGCTGCCATCCGAGAACATCTGCAGCCCGGACCAGCCTCTGCACCTTGGCCTGAGCCCTGGGCCCCCCAGGCCTGTCGTTGCTCATTCCCCCACAGCCTCAGGGGCCCCTGCGCAGGCTCCAGACACGCTTACCCGGTGGCTGGGTGGGGGGTTCTGGAATGTCTGCAGCACACAGCGAGGACTAGCATGCCCTGCAGAGCCGGGCTGTCAGCCTATTCACCGGTCTGTGCACCCACTTAAGGACCATGTCTGATTCATCACGGTGCCCGCAGGCCCCCGGCCCTCCCCAGCTGCCCCCAGACACCCATTTGCTGCCCCCCCACCGGCCCTGGGTGCTGGGATGCTCAAGTCCGAGAGCCGCTGAGGCCAACCCCACAGGACGGTCCTCTCCTGTCCCCAGAGCTGTCTCCTGGCCAGTTTTCAGGGAGCAGATCCCTCTGTAGGGCTGTGGCCGGGTCTCAGGGGTGGGGTGCAGTGTGCATCACCTGCACTGTGGTCCAGGGAACCCCAGAGGAGGGAAGGTGTTGTGGCCCAGCCTGGCAATGCCCACCTTGAGGGCAACCTAGCAGCAGCTTAGCAGATGCTGAGCACTGAGGAAGGGGGTTCCTGGGACCATGTGGCCAACATCCCCCATTGGACTGACACATCAGGGTGGCTGTGGGGGGGCAGCTACGTGCCCCTCCTCCTTCCCCCCAGTTCTCCTGAGAGGCCATAGCTGCTGCTGCTTTTTCTGTTTTTGTTTTAAGAGGTAAAGGGGTTTATTAGCTCTCAAAACAATATGGTCTAGAGGAAGGGTGGGCTTTAGGCATGGCTTAATCAGGGTGCCATGTCTATTGCTTGGGGGTGTTCTTGGGTCTGCCTTTTTCGGGCGTTGGCTTCATCTCCAGGTGATTCACCTTCTGTTGGTTCTTGGAGAGAGAAGACAGGGATGTTGGTCCCCAGTCACTGGCGGTGCTGCTGGGGTGGGGGTGGGGGCAGGAGGGGGGCTTCCAGGTGAGAGAGGCCCCGGGGCCCCAGACCCTCTTCTGTCCTGGCTCATGCTAGAACTCAGCAAGTTTCTGCAACGTGGGCAGCCCTAGTCTGAGAGGTGGGGTGGGCCCTGGCAGTGGTGAGGTGAAGGCTTGGTTCTCATGGGCAGGCCTCCTGAGCAACGACTGAGCACCACTGTGTGCTCTGGAGAGGCAACCTTTGCCTGGCTCCATTCCTGCAATGGAGCCATAGCATGCCACCAACACCGTTCTCCTGGGAGGGTGCCTGGGCGAGTCTAGCCACCCTGGGGCAGATGAGGACTCTCTCTGAGGAAGGAGGGAGTAGATGGCTCCACAGGAGGTTCCCGGGACAGGCTTCAGGGGTCTAGTCCTCCGGGTGTGGCTGGGCAGCCCAGTCTCCTGTCTCTCCAGGCCTCCTTTCTCCGAGGGCTGCAGTTGAGCTCTGGGGGGGGGGGCACCCCTGCAGACAGTGCCCTCTGACCCCTGAAAGGGAGGATGCATGTGACCAGCCGCACCCTCCTGGAAGGCTAGAGACTGCTGCTTCTTGGGTGCTCAGCCCTCACCTCCCCAAGGCCAGGGAGGTCAGTCGTTTCAGACCAGGGGATGTGACCCTCTGGGGAGGGTCCCCGGAAGAGGGGCTGGCTATGGGGGCTCCTGGGCTGTGCCCACAGGGCTGGTGAGGGGATGGGGCGGGTGTCTGCACAGCCATTTCCAGGCGCCAGCCAGCAGCAAGGGAGTGTCCGAGGCTTTCATCGCTGGCTGCCTCACCCTTGCTCAGTCAGGGGGAATTCCCCCAGCCTGCCCTCCCACTGCCGCCGTGAATGCCTCCTTACACAGCCCGAGACAGCATCCAAAGCGGCCCGCCGCCTCCCACCTCGCGAGGAATGCCGGCGCTGGGCCGGCGGGGAGGCCCTTCCCATTGGTTGGCCCCGCCAAGCTTGACTCCCCTGCGCGGCCGGCCGGCCACAGGCTCACCTCCCTTCCCGCCACCGAGCTCGGGGAGAGGAAGCGAGGTGGCCTTTACCCCCGCGCTGGCCAGCCAGGAACGCGGATCCGCGTTTCTCATTCCACCCGCCCGAGGGCTCGAGGGCAGTGGAGGCGAGAAGGGGCGCGCAGGCCCGGGGCATCTGGGCGTCGCCGCGCCGCTGGGGGCAGGGCTGGGGAGACTCATCTCGGGCAGCGCGAGGCGCGACCGCAGGCGGGGGCCGGCGCAAGGCCTGGCCGCTCGTCTTCTGCCCCTTCCCCACCCTGCGGCCCCACGGGGCAGACGGGTCCACCAGAAGGGCCGATGCGCAGCTGCTGGTGCTCCTCGTTGGCCAAACCCGAGCCCGGGAGGCAGGACCGCCACGTGGCCCGCGCCCCAAGGTGCGCCTCTCTCCGGAGCGCCAGGATCCCCCGCTGGTGGGAAGCGCGGTACCCAGGCCCTCCCGCAGCCCGCGCCCGGGACGTCCTGGGAGCGCCTTTTCACTGCATGCCGAGCGGCCCGCGGGGCCACCTGGGCGACGGGGAGCCGCGAAGTTTGCGAGACGCGCGGGGCGATGGCGCGTCGGGGCGCAGGGACAGCCGTGTGACCGGGGACCAGCGCGCCCCCGAGGAACAGGCGTGCGGGCAGCGCCGGGGCGCGCGGTCGGGAAGGGCTCGAGCTGGCGTGCCCTCGCCCAGCTCGCCGTCCTGTCCGGGCGGTCTCGAGCCGCTCGACACCCGCGGGGAACGGGCGCGCGGGCCAGGGGACCCCGCGCGCGCCGCCCCAGCCCCGCGCCGGCCCAGGGGAGGGGGCTTCCCACAATGCCCAGCGAGCTCCAGCCCGCGCTTCCGCTGTCCGGCGGCCCACGGGGGGGGCCGGGGAGGAACGGAGCCCCCGCGGCCCGCGACCCGCGCGCGAGCCGCGGGCGCGGCGCGGCGCCGCGTGCGGTGCGGGCGGTGCCGCGCCCGGTGCGGCCGGCCAATCAGCAGAGGCCGGTGCGCGCCGGCGGCTCAGTCCGCGCGGGCGCGCGCGCGGCGCGGGGCGGGGTTGGAGCGGCGCGGGCGCGCGCCGGCCTGACGGACGGACGGACGGACGGACGGCCGAGCGGCCGAGCGAGCGCGCACTCGACGCGCCCGGACGCAGCTCGCCCGGCGGCGGCGGCGATCACCGGCCGGTCCGGCAGCGGCGGCCCGCCCTCGCCCGCGCCCCATGGGGTCACAGGTAAGCGGCGCCGGCTCATTGTCGCGGCCGCGCCGGCGCGTCGCGGCGGGCCGGGCTGGCAGCTCGGGGCCGGCCGCTCCGAGCCGAGGCGCGCCCGCCCGCCGCCGCCACGCCCGCCCCGCGGGCGCCCTCCGGTGGCGACCGGCCGCCCGCGCAGCTCCGGGCGCGGGACCCAGCTGGCGCCCCGGTCCCCGGGCCCGGCGGCGTGGGCGGGGCGGGCGGCAGGGAACCCGCAGGGCTGCACGCGGAGGCGGCGGTGGCGCGCGCGCCCTCCCGGCCTCCGACCTCCCTACGCCGGCCGCCGGTCCCTCCGCGTCACCTCCGAAAGGGGAATTTTCCAGCTGGTAATTTCTGCTGCGTCAACGCTGGCCCCGGGAGGCAGCCCGGGGGCGTCCCGGCGCCCCCCGCCCGCTCGCCCCGCGCCCCCCGCCGCGCCGCGGAGCCGCACCCGGACCCGCCCGCGATGAGTTTGCCAAGAGTCGGAACTGCGGGAGGCGGCGCGGGCAGGTCCGCGCCCCGCGGGCCCGGAGGGTCACGGTCCCTCCCGGGAGCCGGACGCGGGCGGCAGCCCGGTCTCCATCTTAGTCGCCGCCGGTCCGGGCGCGGGGCCTCGGGGCGCGGCGCGAGGGGCGCGCGGGGCGGCCAGGGCGCGCGGAGCGAGCGGGGTCCCTGCGCGCCCGTCTTTGTTTCTCCGTAAATAGACATGTCAGTTGCGCAGGGCAGCGCGAGCCGGCGTCTGACAACTCAATCCCGGCGGCAAATGCGGAATTTTCTGCGCCGGGGGAGGGCTCCGGCTAGCTGAGGGTCCCCCTGCCCGGCTGACACATTGGCCGTTTGTGCGTTTAGCGAACCGCGCACAATAGGGCCGGACCAAGGAACCTGGGTGCGAACCCGGCGGCGCGGAGAACAGATATATTCTGACACCGGAGAAATACAAACAAAAGAAAGTTTGACTGAGATTCGAAGTGAATTTCCTCCGCCCTCCGTGCTGCAATCTCAGCGACGCCTTTGGCGCGGATTACGGAGGCAGGATTGTTATCAGCATTGTTTAAAGAAATGCTAATGAGGAGACGTGTTTAGCGAGGAGTCCGGTGTAGACACCTGTGCACCGCGCTGGTTAATTGTATCCGTTGTAGAACCTTTCCAGCCGGATTTATCATCAAAGCTGACGCCCGTGTGGTGACGACTTGTGGATTCGTCTCTGGTTGGCCCTCACGCGGGGCAAGGCAGCACTTCCTCTCTGCGGGGGTGGAAAATAGCTCGTTCACCGAAAGGAAATTTATAGAAGGGCTTTTCGCGTGAATAATGAAGCAAACAATAGTGTTTTGGCATGGTAGAGCCCTTCCGCGTGGTGTGTTTTATGATAGTAGCAGGTATTTTGAACTGAAAAGTTCGAGGCACCAAGAGTAAGCAGGTAGGGGCAGGACTTAGGCAGAAGTCACTGCAGCATGGAAGTAGGGACTTAAACACTGTGACCCCCCTAAGGAGCTAGTCATTATTTTCATATCCTTCACGGAAGGGAAGAGGGCCGGGAAGCTATTGCAGGGTTTCTTTTTAGAGTGGTAGAATGCACTTGCTTTGAGGTGTCTAGAAATCCGAAATTTAGTCTTGTCTTCAGGCCAGCCTAGGGACAACAATTCATTAAGCCTCTCTCACCTGTGTTGACCTGGGTGTGAGAATTTTGTTCTGCTGAGATCCTTTCGGTTGAGGTGTAGCCGTTTTGTGTGTGGAAACAAGTTGTCACAGACTGTGCCCAGACCTCCGCTCCCCTCCTCTCTCTGAGGCCGGCCTGCCCTGGACCGTGGACTGTCGTCCCAGAGGCGCCACCCCCAGGGAGGTGCCAGGCCAGGCCGACCTGTTGCCCCCCCAGCGGTTTCCCAGGCCCCTGGGTCACAGGGTAGCACAGAGGTCAGGCTGACACCCGGCAAAGTGACACTGCTCCCGGATTTAGAAAAGACACCCGTAAGTGTGGACACTGTCGTCCTGGGAGGGTGTCTTATTTACACATGCCGCGCAACCGAATTCAGTCTTAAGAGTGAACTTTGCAACATTGTCCTTATGTGGGCTTTTTTTTTTTTTCAAATTAAGGGAAATTGGGCCACTCTGTCCCTGGGGTCTGTGTTTCTGGGGCAGTTGTACGACTCTCTCGCTCTGCTCTGCAACAGAGGTCTCAGACCAGCCCCCGAGAGCTGAGGAGACCCATTTAGCGCGTGGTGTTTAGACAGCGCCACGGCCCCAGAACTTGGGCTAATTCCTCACGTTGCTGTCACCTTCCGTGCTCAGCCGCCCGCTCCACCAGCGGCCGTGGGACAGAAGCCAGAGTTCCGGAAAGGCTGCTCCTTCCCCCGCCCCCCACCTGAGTCAGGTGCCCCCCACACCTGAGTCAGGTGCCCCCCACCTGAGTCAGGTGCCCCCCCACCTGCCGTGGTGGCCCCTGTTCTGGGGCTTCGTGTCCCTGCCCAAGCCACGTTCCCTCAAAAATGCAGACTTTCCCTTGTGATCTGATTTAACGTATTTCACCGTAAAATAATTTTAGTATTGGTAGATTGTTGAGAATTCCCCTGTGTCTTTTCTGGTGTTTCTAGAGGATTTAAAAAAAAAAATCCCGTGTGACTCTGTCCTCGCTCCTGAAAAAAAAAAAATTTTTTTTTTTTTTTGTTGGGACAAGTTTGCTTGAATGACCGGACTCCTAATAATAAATGGAGAATTAAACATCTCTGGTAAGGCCAGGAGACTTATTTAAGTCTTTGGAATACAGTCGTCTTGTCCTAATCACGGTCCTCCTGCCCCGTCTCGTGGCTCTGGCTTTGATCGGGCTCGTCTGGCCATGAACTTGTACAGCACTGGGGCGTCCAAGGGCTTTCCCCGTTCAGCCATTCTCTCTGGCACACTGCGTTGTGTCTTGCACGTATAGAACTGGGCTTGGTATTCTGGTTTGCTGGAGATGGCAGAATGTGCCCTGTGGTATTATTCGTAGATGGAAAAGACAAAGAACCTTTTCTAACAAACTAAAAAGTTATTCTCTTGAAGGGTAAAACCAAGCAAAACCAGTAAAATTTTGTCCTTAAATATGATTTATGCAAAGTTTTGTGTTGAAGAGTAAAATACCAACAGTGCCGTTTAACTCTAGTTTTGATTAAAAAATTGCTACCCTAGGTATTTTAGAATAGAAAGTTGAGAAACAGTCTATTTTTCAAAAGCACTCACAGAGCTTTCGTGTTTTGACAGATGTGTTTTCTGAGTCCTATCAGAGACATTCTGGGGGTTCTCACCTATGACGGTTCTTTGGCATTTTGAGGGCCTGCTCTGGACCTGCCCTGAGGGCAGGTTGAGGGGCTGGGTGGCCTGTTGGGATGGGCTGGGAGGCACACGGGCAGCTCTGATGTGACCCTATGTGGTGACAAGGGCTGGTGAGCACTCAGAGGAGGACAGTGTAGACCGCTGCAGGGAGGGGCGTTTGAATCTGTAAGGATGCCTTGGGGGAAAGCGTGTCCACTCAGAGACCCTGCTGCCCAGCACCGGGCCCACAGTGCCCCGACCAGCAGTGGACTCGCCTTTGTGCTGGGAATTACACTCTAACCTCTGTCTTCCGGAGAGTGGATCGCTGGTGAGAGGGCAGGGCAGGGGGCTGAGGTGGCTTTGGGGGAGCTGATTGGCAGTGGGCTGGCAGGAGCCGGGATCGCCGTGTCAGCCTGCACCTTCCTAAGCCTTGTGTCCACAGAAGCCGAGCTCTTCCTGGCCCCAGGGGTCTGCAGGTGTCGGAGGTCCTCTTGCTTCCCCTCTTGGCCAGGTGGCCTCTCTGACTTACTCATGCCCCAGTCATCTCCAGGCACCCACAAGGTGAAAAAGATCCCCATGTGTGTGAAGGCTTGATTTTTTTTTTTTTTTTTTTTTGAGACAGAGTCTCGCTTTGTTGCACAGGCTAGAGTGAGTGCCGTGGCGTCAGCCTAGCTCACAGCAACCTCAAACTCCTGGGCTCAAGCAATCCTTCTGCCTCAGCCTCCCGAGTAGCTGGGACTACAGGCATGCGCCACCACACCCGGCTAATTTTTTTTTTATATATATATATTAGTTGGCCAATTAATTTCTTTCTATTTATAGTAGAGACGGGGTCTCGCTCTTGCTCAGGCTGGTTTTGAACTCCTGACCTCGAGCAATCCGCCCGCCTCGGCCTCCCAGAGTGCTAGGATTACAGGCTTGAGCCACCGCGCCCGGCCTGAAGGCTTGATTTTTAAAAAATGTCTTCATTTATGTAAAAGTTGGACAGCATTGCTGTTTGCATGGGATACAGACACTTTTTTGTTTCTAAGACATTTTGTTTCCCCATCACTTGATCTGCTTGCAACTATTCTGCAGAAAAAATGGGGCCTCTCGTAGGTAAGAGAAAATCTTCCCCTTCCCGGACCTGCCGTGTGCACACTCGTGTGCTCCTCTCTGCGGCAATGTGGGGAAAGGTGCCTCTGTGTCGTGGGCTACACAGATGGGGCTTGAGAACTTCAGGTAGTAAGAGCTGCCCCCGAGAAGGGTGGGCACACCTGGGGGGTGCAGCCCGTGGACTTTGGGGACGTCACCTTCCTAGTGTCTGTCTCTTGGCAAACAGTGGGTTTGACCTGTGACCTTCAGTTCCTTCCACTTTTTTTTTGAGACAGAGTCTTACTCTGTTGCCCAGGTTACAGTGCCGTGGCGTCAGCATAGCTCACAGCAACCTCAAACTCCTGGGCTCAAGCAATCCTCCTGCCTCAGCCTCCCAAGTAGCTGAGACTACAGGCACGTGCCACCATGCCCGGCTAAATTCTTCTATATTTTTTCATTAGAGACGGGGTCTCGCTCTTGTCTTGCTCAGGCTGGTCTCGAACTCCTGAGCTCAAACAGTCCTCCTGCCTTGGCCTCCCAGAGTGCCACAGTTCCTCCCACTCTTAATGCCCAGCTATACGTATCTGCCGAGGCCTGGGGAGCCCAGCAGTGACTTTTCCTTGGGCAGAAGAACACATGGTCTGTCC